CGCTTATATTCATGGGCACTTTTAAACACCAACATTTCTGGGTGTGTTAATTGTGTTCCAATCCCAGGAGCAAAATCCTTCTGGGGCTGAAGGGTAAAATTTCAGCAGTTTTTGAATAGCAGGGTGTGTAGCCAATTTCTACAAAAACTGGAGGATGAGGGATCAGCAAGTAGGTAGATCAGTATAAGCAATGAGAGCCGCATATAACTTGGTGTTCTGCACAATGCTACTGTTGTGCTTCTTTTAACAACATCATGTTCTGGTGCAGAGATGTTATGAGAAATAAAAAATATTGGCAGAACATTGTATGCATGTAACCCAGGCAGCTCTAGCCACACACCACCACCTCTCCATTTTATGCTGTTGCTCTTGTAAGAGGCGATTTAAGTTATGAACGGAGGAGAGATAGCTCAGTGGTTTGAGCATTGGCCTCCTAAACTCAGAGCTGTGAGTTCAGCCCTTGAGGGGAGTCACTTAGGGATCTGGGGCAAAATCAGTACTTGGTCCTGCTAGAGAAAGCAGGGGGCTGGACTCGATGACCTTTCAAGGTCCCTTCCAGTTCTAAGAGATAGGATATCTCCTTTAATTTAATTTTAAAAAAGCAATAGCAAGTTTAGACCCTGAGAAAAGCCCTAGGATCTTCAAATGTACAAGAATAGACATAAACTGAGGCTGTTCCTTAAAGTCATTAAGTTAAATCTAAATATTTAAATTGCCAACCACAAAGAAAAATGTATTAGGGGAACTGTCTGAGACACTAAAGGTGTTGGCCTTCGTGCTATGGTCTTGGTGTAGCTTAATCAGTGATTAAAGTAGATCAGAATAGGAAAAGAGTTCACCAATTTTGATGGATCTTGACAAAAAGTGGGGAATGTAGCATTATGTGAGATCTGAAAGGTTTAATTTAAAGGGATCCCAATGGGCTTTTAGATAAAAGTAGCTGTTTTGTTCAGATTTTCAATGGTTCTGACTCAAGCTGCCTGTTGAAATAAAAAGATTCAATATTATTTGTGTATTTAAATGAATGAACAAGCAAAACTAAAGTAAAAACTGCATCACTAATTTAAGATACTACAAATTCTACTTAACTAAGACCTAAACAATACAAATGTCAAACTAAAAATCAAATAAAAGATCAAGGTCTTAACAAAGGTATTGAATTAATATCAAATCATCAGATTTGTTAGTTAATTGAATTAATACAGCAAATAATCAGTTCTTAACAAACAAACAGGAATTCCAGAAGGTGGCTGTCCATTTGGTTATATCCCACTTAAAGAACTTTTACCCATGGCAAATAATCCAATATACAAGTCAAATAATTGGCTGTCTAATTTACAATTGGAGCCAATCAAAAGCCTCCTCCTGAGGTTTTACTTATACAGTGATGACTACTGCTGTTCTCTCCTGCCCCCAACAGAAATCATAGGCTACGTCTTCACTACGGAGGAGGAGGGTCGATTTAAGATACGCAAATTCAGCTACGCAAATAGCGTAGCTGAATTCGATGTATCCGAGCCGACTTACCCTGCTGTGAGGACGGCAGCAAATCGACCTCCGCAGCTCCCCTGTCGACGGCGCTTACTCCTACTTGCGCTGGTGGAGTACAAGCGTCAATTCAGGGATCGATTGTCGCGTCCCGACGAGACGCGATAATTCGATCCCCGAGAGATCGATTTCTACCCGCCGATTCAGGTGGGTAGTGAAGACGTAGCCTCCGTGTCTGATGAGCAAAAGATAATTGAGCAAGAGTGTTAAAGACATATAATAGTTTTATAACATCTCAGGATTCTGTGAACAGAGAACTCTTGGTATTTTTAAAGAGTTGGCACTTAGGGTGTTTACTTCTGGCACCTTTTCTTGGGGCTTTACAGGTGCTTATAAGCATGCACCCCCCACACTTACATTCTACAATAATAGAAGTCTGGAACATCTTCTTAAAACTACAGATCATAAAATATTTAAATAACTAGGGATTGGAAGTCTAGCTCTCCTAGTTTTGATACACGTCGTGGTAGCATTATCTACAGTCACCGGACCAGATGAGGTGATAGCTGGGTCAGCGCTGTGCCACTAGAGGGATCTTTTGGATGCTGAGGCTGGTCAGTCTGTGTAGCTCATAGTGGTAGTCTTCACCTCCTCAATTCACAGATAGCCAGAAAACAGAAGGGGGTCAACTTTTCCAGGTGTCTTTGCTGGTCCAAAAAACACAAGTCTTCTGTTTTGACCCTTGTTCTTATAGTCATAGTTAGGATGACCAGATAACAAAACTGAAATATCGGGATGCCAGTTTTTACTGATGACAGGCACGAGTACATGCTAAGCTATTATTACTTATTAACCATTAACCTTACAACTTTTATTCCTATTCTTATTAACTATAAGTACAAAGATACTATAAACTGATTAACAACTTTCTACTATTTCTAAACAATTTAACACTAGTATTAAACTTTTACTACTATTTTTAATACTGCAGCACTAATATAATCTGAGATCAATTATCCCAACACTACCATTCTTAATACTATAGTGTCAGCACAACTTGAGATCAAAACAGCTCGAGCAACCCAGACTTCTTTACTCAGATACCTTATTCTGCATACAACCAGACTTTTTCTTTAAAACCTTACCCTGCCAAGAATACGTTACCCTTTAGTCGACCACTCTTTGCAATGGCCAGGTGCAGATAGTCGGTGCAGTTCAGGTTCTCGGTTCAGGGGGTGCGGGTTAGACCGATCAAAGAGAATAACTTCTTAGTCCAAGACATACACATACACCCTCCTGAGGTTCTACACATTTAATCTCATCTGTCCGCCATGCTTTGAAGCAGGTCAACCAATCAGGTTAGGCCAAATTTAGTGTTATCACTTTGGCTGTATAATTCATGCTTACTTATTTTCTTGTAGCCAATTATTGTTTTAATTTTATAAATTATGCTCAAGGAGATAGCTTATTTCTACATAGCCCACTGTCTCGACTGTGGTTTCCCTTAGTTTTCTAGGTAACTTACCTCTAAAATGGGCTATTGGCTTGATTGTGGGTAAGGTTATCTTGATGACCTATGCCTAAAGGCCTAGCCCATCAAACCCACATAGGAATCAGTTTTTTGGCTGCAGCATCTCTTAACCACAAGTTCCAAAGGTGGTTTCAATAAGCCATACCCGGGGGCATGACCTATTATACCATATAAGAGTTAGCATAAAATGTTGTCTGGTTTTAGGTGTCTTTTGACCACAAGTTGTAGCTTCATTTTGCAAAGCTTGCTTTTTAAAGATAATTTTGCAAAGCTCATTTTATAAAGCTTCTGGAAGTTTTAGGCCTAACACTGGCAATGCTGGTGTTCATCTTAAGCTTGACAACAATCTTGCTCAAATTAATCACACATAGATCATATTTTACCCAGAAAAAAATCAAAAGGAGGAATATGAGATCAGTTTTGAGGAAGTTACCCTCAGCCACACCTCTTCATGCACCCTCCAATATATCTTAAAATAGTTTGCCATAGATTTATAAATATATCACGTAATTCTTCTGCACATAAAAGAAATTGAAAGCAGCAATTACAGGCTAACTAGGTGAAAGTTTACAAACCCTTCATTAGGTCAAGCTCACAACTCATCTCATAACTCGTCTAAGAGGAAATTGCTGTTTCTACTTCAATACAGACTTCATCTGAAATGAAGATAAATGTAGGTTTATACAATTCTGTTTCTCATATACACTATTTCTCTCACAATTGCATCATCATGTGGTGATGGGACAAATCAAGGGGAAAGAATGGGGAGACGGTGAATAGGCCAAGAGAGAATTTGAAAGGAGTTCTTGTTTTCAGGCAGGCAATATATGTGCAATGGGTGGAGATTTGAGAGTTAGGATGAAGACTACGGGCTTCTCTATATACAAATACCATCATTTATACTTTGCCTGAATGGAACCTCTTTAATGATGTTGTAGTAGTTCCGGGGTGGGGCTTGTCCCTTCCTGGGGCGCCTGAAAGTCGGGCCGCCCCGCTACAAAGCGAATAACAGTTAGGGCCCCGACCTTAGGGTAGGGGCTAAGCACACAATTGACAGTTCAGGGCTCAGGCCCTTATGCAGGGACTGAGCACCCAATTAACAGCCCCGGCCCTGGGTCAGGGCGGGGCAGCACACCAA